AAGAATACTAGGCTACAACCGGCCATGCTTGTGAAATTTAATGCTTAAGTCTCATTGCAAATAATTAATGATAATACACTTACTCTGATCAGATAAAATGTAAACTGGTGAAATATGTATGGGGATATGTGTATGTCAGTAAGCAAATGAAAATTTTAGTTCATGATGAATAATAACTGCAAATCTGCATTTTTTAATATTTCCTGATGTCTAAATAAATAAGCAACATCTGAAGTATTATAAAAACTTAATGTATGTCTCTCCGTGTGACAATATATTCATCAAGTATATATAATCATATAAATCATATATGGTTTGAGGATCAAGACTTCGGTGTTCAGCAGAGAAAGGCATAGGACAGTGATGGCTAACCTTTTTGCCATTGCATGCCAGGAAGGGGTGGGGTGGGGGAGGTTTGCCCGTGCGTGTGCCCACACCCGTAATTCTATCTGCCCTGCCACGCACATGCGAGCGCGACTCCCCTTCCCCCCCACTCCTGGCACGCGATGGCCCGGTAGGCCCATTTTTCTTTCTCACCTGACTCCAGATCCTTTCTATGCATCTGGGGAGGGTGAAAACAGCCTTCCCCACCCCCTCGGAGGCCGGAAGTTGAGAAACGGGCCGTTTCGGGCCTCCAAGGGGGTGGGGAAGGCTGTTTTCACCCTCCCCAGATGCATAGAGAGGATCTGGAGTCAGGGAGAAAGAAAAACGGGCCTTCCCCTGCCCCCCCCAGGCTCTCTTCTGGTGGGCCCAAAAGGGCTGAAAATCAGCTGACAAAACTGAGCTGGCGTGCCAGGCAACATGACTCCACGTGCCACCTGTGGCATCACGGGCATAGGATAAAGACAATGAGAAGGAAAGGAATGAGAAAGCTTTCTAATTAGTTCATTGTCAAATTGTTGAGGAAGAAGAGCCTAAAATTAACATGTAAATTATCTGTGTAACTCAAACAGACTCAGACAAAATTGTATTAGCTATACATTTCTGTCACATTGTTCCTAGACAATAAGTTTGCATTATATCTTTGGAATGTTAGAAATATGCCCTTTCTCATTGCAAAAATCATAAAATTAACGAGGTGAGTCATAATTTTCAACTTTTGAAATGTGACATGAAACACATTTACAGTATTGTTCATTGTTAGTAATTTTCAGAAGTTGCAACTTCTAATTGTTATATCCACTGAAGCAAGGACAGTTATTTCTTCCTGTAACGGAATTCTTATCCTAATTCTATAGATTCTGAATGTGAAAGTTATGTTCTCAGAAATTATGCTTTGGTATAGCTGGCTTCAATCTAATTTGTTCTCAAAAACTGCAGGCTTCAAGAATACCTCGTGTTTCCATATAAAATGCCCATCCCTCAATCTTTGCCCCTCCACAGTATAAAATTCCCAAAATTCGGATCCCTCCCATGTTGCTTAAATTCATTGGCTCAGGTGACCGTAGAGCCGAGCCGTTATTTCTAAAGATATTAAAGGGGGGGAGAGGGGGGGCAGCAAGGTGAATTTATGGAAGATACATGTAAGAGGGTACCGTCTCCTCACCAAGGCTATAACTGATCTAGGTTTAATCCTTGGAGGGGGGGGGGAGAATAGAGACAATGTGATGTGCCTTATTGCTGTGCGTTTACATTTCACAGGAAGACAGGAGAGGGAGCGGGGGGGGGAGAGAGCGTAATATTAAGACAATGCTGAAAAGGTGGACTGGCGAATCATTCCCTTCTCCCAGTCTGAGGAAGCAGCGATTCTTTCTTTCCCCCCTCCTCCGCGCCCCCTCCCCCCCCCCCGGGAGCGCCCCCAGCTCTCTTCCCAGGTTGGAGTCCCTCTCACTCGCACTTTCAAAATGGCCACGAGCCACCCTCCGCGCGCAAGCTTCCAAAAGCGGGAGCCTCACAGCTCTGCCAAAGCAACCGCGGAGAGATCACTCACCCACGCCTTGGAGATGCTTCAGCGCAGCCGCCGCAGACTCAGAACAGCGGGACGAGTGAGGAGGAGGACGAGGCGCCATCATCCCCCCCACCCCACACCCCGAGCCAGACAGCGCGGGCGGTTACTATGACAACCGGAGGCGGCTGGCTTGCGCGTGCCTCGCGAGACCCGCCCGATGCTGCTGTTCCAAAGCCGCTGAGAAAAAAAATGACAGGGGCGGATTAAAAGAATGCTCTTTGTCTTTTGTTTTTTTCTTTTATTCCGCTCCCTTCATTTGGAACCGAAAAACTGCAATATGCTTGGGAAGGGGGGGGGGGCGGTTTGCAACACTGGAGAGGGCTTTTTAATAAATACTATGAAAGAATCGTAGAATTCTTATGAGTCAGTAACTAATCCGTAATAAGCATGTTTTCCTTTCTTGCGTTTAAATAATTACTTATATCAGGGTTTACTTAAGTAATAATAATAATATACATCTAAAGGCATTTTTGTTTCCAGATAATTGCTGAAATTGAAGTCTTGTTTATGTGATTTCTTATATGTCTATAGTTAATTTAGAAATGAGCTATAAAATGATAAAATGGGCACTGCACCAGAACTGTGAATGCATTTTTAGCTGGTACTTTTTAGAAATGCAATCAAATCCATTATACTTTGCATAAAATCGGTTTTAAAATGAAAGTTACTTCAGTGGTTCACTAGTCCTAGGCACCTTATTTGAGAAATTTATTCGAGAGGATAAAAGAATATGATCAACAGGATCTTTGGGTAGAGTGCCTAAAGTCACAGAGACACAATATAAATTATTAAAAAAAACAGTAAAATAATAGCTAAAACTACCTTACCGGCCAAAAGCTTGCTGAAACAACATGGCTTTATAGAATGTCAGTAGGATTTGGTAGTTCAGTACTTCTAGGGGGAGAAAGAAGGGGGCTGGTGCTGAGATGGCCTATTATCTATAACCATCCCTGGGATGGGGGGGTAACAAAAAGATCAAGAAGCTGTCTACAGTCATGTGATTATTCCTTTGCATGCAACACATATTAAAAGGGGTGAGCTCCAGTTATACAGGCACACCTGCCATCTTGGCTTTTTCACTTCTCTCTGGATATTCCTGTAGCTCATGTACCTCCGGTGCAGGGGGAACCCCCAATAGGCCTTCTTTGATGGTTATATCAAAAGAGATTTTTGTATTAGATACAGAAAACATGACATCATCAGGGCTCTTCTGTACCAACTGTTAGCTAGAGACTGCTGATGCTTCAAGAAACAAAGGACATGAACATTTGTTATTGCCTTCAGCTGACTTTCATCCTGCTGTGGATGTAGCTTGTGCACGCGTATTCCTGTTTTGTTTCTGCAGTGATGCTCCCTTATACTGGTTGACACAAGCTTAGTGCAGCCTGTGCTGATGGCATGGAGGTAAGTTTGCTGGTGATGGGTTGCCCTGTTTCTGTTGGCCATCTGAGGACACAATAGATCCAGCCCTGGTTCCAGATTGATTTTGGAGAGCTGTTTGCCTATTGGTAGTTGAAGGATCAGAGCTTTCCCCACTGTACCAAATTATCATCTCTTCCACTTGTCAATCAGCAGAGGAAAGGTTATGGAGGGAAAGAAGAATGGGAAGATCTTTTGGGTGCCAAGAAAACCCTGTTTTCCCCACCAAAGAGAAAGAACCAAAGGAAAAAGAAATGAAGTTGATAACCAGTAAAGAAATTGGTTACTCTTGTCCACATTTTTGCTAGGGGGAAGGAGAAACTGGGAGAGAAGTGTCAGAAGCACTTTCTTGTCAGTACCTGTCTCCAAACAAAACATCCCTGCCACCTCTCTCCTTCCTTCTTTTACCCCATGCTCCGGGTACAAACAGAAATCTGCTTCATTGCCGAAACAGAACAAGGATAGAAGAACCTTATTCAACATTTTTTTGAGAAGGCATACTTCTCGGTCAGCTCCTGAACTAGATGACAGCATTTAATTGCTGCTGTGCATAATAGGTAGAGAAACAAACACCACAATCTATCCTCATTTTATTACTGAAAATAACTGCTTGGAAAACTAATAGAAACTTTTGCAGGACTCATCTTTGACGAAAAATATATTTGTACTGATTGCAATGATAGTATTTTTTTTTCATAAATTTTAACCGTATTGTCAAGACTCTTGTGTGTAATCTAGAGCAGAGGTCCCCACCCTTGAGCAGTGGACCGATACCAATCTGTATCCTATTAGATCCTGGGCCACGCAAATGGCAGCAAGTGAACGAAGTTGCATTTGTGCATCTGCAAGATCTAGGTTGCGTGCAAAACCACGACCAGTTGGGCCATGAAAAAATTGTCTTCCACGAAACCAGTCTCTGATGCCAGAAAGATTGGGAACCAGTGATCCAGAGCATGGACTGAAAGTTAAACCATGTTACATTACACAGTTGAAGAAACTTGGGATGTTTACAATATTTACAGTATTCAATGGATTATATCCTTTCCCTTCAAAACTCCAAGTTTAATCACCAGTTTCTTCAGGTAATATCTGGAAAAAGTGAGTCTTTAACCTACTTCCAGTTAGTGTGAACAATTCTGAATTAGACACACCCATGGTCTGGCTTGTAAGGCAATTTTTCACGTTCCTATTTTACAAGATGGGATATTTTTCTTGATAAACATAGGAAATTGTCCAATTTATTAAAAAGACATAATACCAAAAACATTTAATACATTCTTGAGATTGCAATTCTATGTTTCTCTCAGTGACTCACTGAGTCACAAAACACCTATGTGATAAAAACGGGCATGTCTATTGTACTGGCGTGTACGTCTGTAAATCATATCTGACATAGCAATCTCCAGCTCCAGTTATGAACAGGCTCCCTTGGAAACTGGAATCAATAAAACTGGATTTCTGAAAGATATTATCTAGTCCCAGTGCTGCACAGATAATGTTACCTGTGAAAGGCAGATTCCTCAGCAGAATCCAAGAGCTATTAGCAATTTTGTGATAGGCAGAAAGCAGTACAATATATACATTCATAGTATTTATGTGATAATGACTCAGCAAAATGGCAAGAAGACCTTCCTTTTAACATTTAGTAACATTTATTTCTGCATTCAGTATCAAGTACATAAGTGCAAATATTTAAGAATCCATAATTAAATCCTACAGAGAACGTCATACAAATTTGTGATACGTATTACAAGCTGGAAGTTTTAATTTTCCCATACATGTAATCAGACCACTGATCCTTGAAGAGCAAATTAAAAAACAAACAAACAAAAGAAAACAAAAGAAAAGATACTGGGTGTGTAGGTTTTATTTTCAATTTCTTAAGAGAGTTATACAAAATGAATTATGCCATTTAAGTACTGATTGCTCCTTGGCTTGTTTTTTAATTAGATGTGCCAAAAGAGAAACAATGACACTTGAAGACTCAGTCTATGATTCTAAATAGTCAAGATAAAGCCAACCAGCAAACCCAGTGGACGTAGAAGCAAAACTGCATCAGTGCACTAAGCAGGAAAGCCCTAGCCACATGTAACATTCAGAGTTATTTAAGCGATGCTGATAGAAGAAATAATAGTAGAAGCACTAGATAATAAAAAATAGAAAGTTCAATAGTAACTTTAGGTTCTCACCATCATGCACTTAAGAAGCAACACAAGAACCACACCTAGAACACTTTTCTCTTTACTATACTTTAGTGCTTGACATACATGATTGCAAATAGTCTAAGATAGTACAGAAACAGCAGGAGAAGTGTGGGGGAGAGAAGCTGTTTCATTATTTCACATCTCTGAGATCATGGTGTTTGAAAGAAAGAAGAGTGAAGACAAATGTAACACATTCAGAGCAATGGTGTCATTCCAGCAGCACCCTCACTACATTGAATCCAAACATCCTTCCCCACCACCACCCAGGATGGAACTGGAAAAGAAAAAAAATAGTTCTGCAAATTTGAAGCAGAAGCTGGCTGCGCACAGTGCTGATTGGCTGCTTTCTCATGATGTCACCCAAATGTTCTCTTCGCAATCCCTAAAATAACTTTACATTTTCAAAGAAGTGGTATGTTGTTTGGATATATAGGTAGCTATATAAAAAGAAATGAACAAAAATTCATGAACATTTTTGCAGTGCTCTCATTATTTTGGATAGCTGGAAAGCCAGCCTGAAGAATAGGGAAGAAGAAACTAAAGGCAGGTAGCTGAGCCCATTTTCGTGGCACTTATGACTGTTGTTTTGGTTGTGAATTTCAGAGAAAGCCAGGCTCGACCTAGGATTGTGGGGCATGCTGCAACACTGTTGAGTTTTTCTATTTTACATCTGCCTTCACCCAGAGAGAGAGAGAGAGAGAGAGAGCAAGCGAGAAAAAGAGAGATGAATAATAAATTATAAATAAAAAGAACAGAGCCGTTTTCATCCCAGACTCTCTTATCATTCACTCCTGTAATTGATAGATTCTTGCTGCTACTTTTACTCAGCCTTCCTCTTAGCGCCTGGGATTTTTGCTTGGATTCTGGAGGTTGAAAAATAGGATTACAAAAAAACAAAAATTAGACATGCAGAATAGCTATTTCACTACATAATTAATTTTCTCTGCTTGAAACTAATCCTCAGGTAGAATTTCTTTCACTCAGAAACATTCATTATGAGCTACAGTCATCATAAATGGAAAGAGCTTCTTTTCTATTTAAAACCTGGATGGTTTCACAATCTCTGAGGAATCTGTTTTGAATTATTTCTGGAGCATCGCACACCCCTAAAAGAAAGTACATCAACAGATGAAATTTAGAGGAATAATTATTTTCCAGGGCAGCAGGAAACATTTTGCTGTAGATGTATAAAGATTTTTTAAGGAGGTGTTATCTCTAATAGTTGTAAGGGGGTGAATCACAAAAGATTTTGGGGAAATTTGGGACATTAAAAATAATGGAGTGATCTTGAACAATGCAGGAGCATATGATCAACCATAGAGCTATAGTTATCACTCCTTCAATAGCCAATTTAATGTAATATTGTCATTATGTCCTAAATCAGGACAGAATACATTTTAAATCTGCAAGAATTTGTACACATTACTCAAACTGCAAATTGGAGTCAGGTGCAAAACTGACTTCAAATTAAAATAGAGATATTTTAATACCTAACCTCAGCTGAGATGAGGAAGAAGTCACTATCCAAAACCTTTCTTTATATTAGTTGTCTTTTTGGGAGGTGTGGGGGGTGGAGGGGTAACTTTCTTATTGCTAAGTAGTTGCTAGCTACCCTAACTAACTGTAGAAGTCTGTGTCCCTAATACTAATCCTACAGAAATCTAGCAACAGTATTCTATTTGTCCTGGTGTTAAATAACTTGACTACAATACTCACTTTGCCACAACAGTATTTATGTGGGTCCTCACAAGCCCCAAGTATTGATCAATCTGTGCCTGAAAAAGAAAGAAGAAAGAAATCAATGAGGAATCAACTATATTGATGCATTACATTATTATATTTTATAGAGGTGATTTTACCAAGCTCTTAACATGTTTGTCTGCCACATACACTCCAAGACAGTTAAAATTGGCAGTCACCTTTATGAAAATATTGTTGCAATCAATCAAAATAGGAAAAATACACTCAGTATCAAGTATAAATTATTTTCCAATCCTATGGATTATATTATCATTAATTAATTAATTATTAATTATGCATCGGGGATAAACCTAAACCAGGTGGCAGGTAATAAAGAAATGTAAAAAACTGGTATCTGAAGCTGCAATCTTGTAATCATTTACATGGGAGAAAACAGACTGAATTCACAAACTGACACTTAAAACGGCAATATACAGAATCTATTTGGAGAAGATTTCAATCTCCCAGATATTCTTATTATGGTAACTACTGCTGAATGAAGGAACTTCAAGGAGACATTCAATATCAAACTATTGATATATGAATTATCTGGAAATTCATAGATGAACCAAAATGAACTAGCATGATTTTATCCCATTACCCATCCACACACCAGGATGCTTGTGCTATTAATTCATCACTTTGTGAATGGTAATTGAGATTTTTTTTACATGCATGAAGTGTTAAGATAATTATCATAGTTTATATCTTCACATTTAATTTCTCTCTTTTTTCAAGAACACAAGAAATATACAGACATGTTTTCCAACAATGAAGTGTGTATAAACAAACACACATGCAAACATGAACCAACAACTTAAGGCATCATGCTGTGTCCACAAAAGCTGATACAAAACAAAACAAACACCTGGAAACATTTGAAATGACACAAAACTATTTTTGCTAGCAGATTAACATGATATTTCCTGGAATCTACCAGGTATGTATTGGTGGCAAAAAAAGCCAAGATGGCAATTTTAGCAATGCAATCAAAGTCCACCTCTGGGGCTATGCATGTTGCCTCATACATGTACATGACAGAGCTTTTATGGCCCTATGTCAACCACCATCACGAGTCTGTTGTCACTTTCTACACTTTTCTTCTTGTAATCCTAAACAGATTTTACAACTGTTCAAACACACAGGAATTTGAATATGTGCATGTACAACAATATCAGTGGGACAAATATGCATATTACAAACTGATAATGGCTACTACTGATCTTGCTCCTAGCTCCTTATCCATTTATATAGGTACTACGGATCAAAATGAAATCCATAAATTAAACTTTCTTACATACCTGATACTTGTCATATACCACAGGTAGAGTAAACATTGAGACCACAGCTAGACAGAAGGAGAAAAAAAAAGGCTTTAAGCATATTTGCAAGTATAGTACACACTTGTGCTCATCATTAAAAGGCATAACAAAGCTGATGAATGATTACTACCCCGTTTCAAAATTCTACTATCCTATTTTAGCAATTGAGTTATTTCTAAAAATCCAAGTGGTTATTGTTTTCTGAATTCACAGGATTTGAGAGTTCCCTTCATTGCTACATTATTGTAAAAAAATGGTAAATTACGCTCATTAACATGGACATCCTAAACTGTAATTAATATTGATGTAATGCTTCTTTTTTAATGAATAGTCTAAGTCAGGGATGACAAACTCAATTTCATTGAGGGCCACATCAGGGTTGTGTTTGACCTTGGGGGGTAGGGGGTGGCCAGAGTGGGCATGGCCAGGGTGGGCGTGGCCAACTTGACATCACTCATTGAGGCTCAGTTTTCAGCTGCAACAGCCTCCTGCAGCCTTCTGCCATCGAAAACGGAGTCCGGGTGAGCTCTGTTTTTGCTAGCAGAGGGCTGCAGGAGGCTGTCGCAGCTGAAAACGGAGCCTGGGAAGGCCACGTGCAGCCCTCCTGAGCTCTGTTTTAGCTGGCAGAGGCACCATGGGCTGGTCCTTCACTGTTTCCAGGGCAGCTCCGCGGGCCAGATCTAAGCACCCCGCAGACCGGATCCGACCCCCGGGTCTTGAGTTTGACACCCCTGGTCTAAGTTATCTAAATATTAGACTGTTAATAATCTTCAATCAATACTGAACAAATAATCATTTTATTGAAACAATGTGATGTATGAAGATGTACAATAATCTAATATAATATTATACAGAGTAAGTACAGAGGATGTGATAATGATAATTACTTTACTATTATATTTGTACTATTATAATTACTTTAATAAGTGAATCTGAGAAATTGAGATTAAGGGAACTGGGGAAAAAAGAGATTGGAAATATAATGTAAGAATAAAATCTGAGTCTCCTGAATTAAAACTCTTATCATCATTATGGGCATATCAGCCATGAAAATAAATCTGAAAGTACCAGAAGTGTTAAACAACAAACATGTACTTTTAAGAAATTACCGAAAAAAACAATTGACAAAGAGAGAGGGACATATTTCATTGAAACTGTTCGATCTATTTTGACCACAAAGTTATCGTGATACAAATTAAAAGAAATGATTAATTTTACCCATTATCAGGAGAGTTAAGCCATTGAAGAGAGCTCCAACGTAAGTCAACAACCACATTAGTACTGCAAACTGAATTGGAAATAATACAATAATTAAATTTTCACAATCACAACAGGCTACCAACATAATAATAAGAGATATTGGAAAGTTTAGATGTAATACTTCAGTTTGTCCATTATTATTTCATTAAATACATTTAATTACATTTTTGAGATGAACATTCTGGTGTAACCAAAGCTTTGTGATCAGTAGTTAATAGGGAATAAATCTAAATCTTGTCTTGAATGTCTAGAAGGAGGGAGGGAGGGAGGGAGGGAGGGAGGGAGGGAGGAAGGAAGGAAGGAAGGAAGGAAGGAAGGAAGGAAGGAAGGAAGGAAGGAAGGAAGGAAGGAAGGAAAACATTTCCTATTTTTCTGAATCCTTAGAGCTACATAATTCCCCCACATTTTTCTCTTCCTTGCAAGCGAAGGAAGAAATAAAACTGTCAAGATACCACGTAAACTAGCATTTTTTTTTTAATTTTTTTTTTAAAATTTGATTTATATGCCGCCCTTCTCCGGAGACTCAGGGCGGCTTACAGTGCGTTAAGCAATAGCCTTCATACTTTTGTATATTTATACAAAGTCAGCTTATTGCCCCCACAAACTGGGTCCTCATTTAACCTACCTTAGAAAGGATGGAAGGCTGAGTCAACCTTGAGCCTTGGAGAGATTCGAACCAGCAGTAAATTGCAGGCAGCTGTGTTAATAACAGGGTGCTTTAAACCACTGTAGTACCAAGGCTGTGTTATTGCAAGGAAATGTGATGGGGGGATAGCTTATTTTGAGCATGGTATCTGAGAAATAATATGGCCATTTGTACATATTTCATTGTACATATGATTTAGGATTGCATTCTAAATCAGCATATTTTAAATTCTTCCTTGCTTTTAAATAACTTAATGTTCATCCAATTTCTAAAAAATGATTAGTTTAATACTCTACTATTATGCCCTAAACTTCCACTTTAAAAAAGCCCTAAATTTTATTCCTTTTAACTGAGAGCTAGTGTGCTCTAGTGGGTATGGACTAGGACTCCACTCCCAGCCATAGAAAGCTGCAAAGTGAATGAGGAGATGAAAATGGGGGGGGGGGGAGAGAGAGAATGGCTCCCTAAGAACTGCCTTGAGCTCCTGTAAAAAAACATGGAATGCTGCTCATTCATATTCATTTTATTCATGAATGAATGAATGAATGAAAAATGACGTAAACTCTGGGCTCTCAAATCCTAGAGTATGTTGAGCCAGATTTTCAGTGTTTGGAAAGAGAGATTTGCGGCCTTTTTTTTTTTAACCTCAAACTCTGTAGAAGAAGAATGAGTTGGGCAAGATTAACATATCTGCTACGTGACAGAGTTTATAGAACTGAGGTTTTTAAAGCACATTATGACACATTCTGAGAACTAACAAGAAACAGTGCAGGAAAAAAAAGATTCAATTCAAGCTGATTGCAATAAGAACTTGTTATAATTACAAACTGATCTTTTTTTTAAGCATCAATCTGATCACCATGATACCTCATGACACTGAATCCTACTTGTTAATTGTATATTGATTTTCTTAAAAGAAATATTTCATTTACTTCTCCAGTACCAGCCATGATGATATCCTTTGAAAACCTTAAAGAATTAATTTGAGAACTCTGGGAATGTAGCTCTTCCATCATGAAGTTCTCCCTTCTCTAAATCCCCATGCTTGTTTAGTGGATCACCTACCTTTAAGGAATCAACCAGATCCTGGACCAGAAAAAGTCGCCTAAGCTCTTTGACTGTGCTGTTCACGTAGGACTGGAGGCAATCTGTGTATTTCTGAATCTGTTCCTGGGAGAGAGACATTTCCATTTCCAAGTAGTTTCTGTTGAAAAAGAAAATGCCTAACTCAGATTTCACCAGCTGAATTCTTCTCTTATACAGAATCTTTGGGTTGCAGACTAAAAACATGCCAACTATAGGGACAGACAGCCTCTTTGATCATATTTCATTTATTTATTTAAATTCATTTCTCTCTTATTTTTATACCATATATTCTGTTTAGAGAGGATAAAGTGTTAATTTCAGGGGCAAATGCAATATAAATGGACCCAGAAAAGCCTGGGTAAATAAAAATAATTCTAGCCATTCACAGGGCTGGTATCTGATTCCTGATCCATACTGCCAACAAATTTTATATATTGTATAAGATAGTTGTCCATATGAAGTTGAAAAAAGCTTGAAGAAGGATGGATCTTAAGGTTTATCATCAATTATACTGGGCAGCTTTTCCTCCTTAACGATTTTTGTTTGGATGAAAGCAGTCAAATCTAATGTTTAGATTTGGGCTGTCTATAAATGAGGCAGGAAAACCACACAGTCTGGAGTCTCTTCAGACTGGAGTCTTTCCTTTTGACTTGACTGATCCCAACCAACCAAGCTCAACAGTTGCCAGTTAAACCTTAAACATACATATATGGATATTTACCCAAAAGGTTAATGTGAAAAACTAGTGATTGCTAATTGAGTTGGCAAACAATTCAGTTGTATTCAGTCAATTCAAGGAATGAAATGGGTAATGATCAAAGTGGGAATTTATTTCTCTAAAAATACTTTTAACTTTTTACCAATTGTTGCACTTAGAAACAACCAGAGATCACTCACTTGAATGGGTGTCCTTCATCGGTTTTTTGCACAGCCTGTAGCACTGATTTGTAGATTCTGAAGCTGATGGTAGCTGAGAGAGCTGCTAATGCCAAGTAAGCAATTACACTGACAACACTGAACTGGGTTAGGGAGAACAATAACAGCAGGATGCTTCCAAACATGATCCCAGTTTGCTTGATGTCACGCCAGTATAAGAGATCAATAGCTGGAGGATGAAAGGTAAACAATAAATTCTCCAATTGTATCATCAGAGACTGCCATCAGAAATTCATGCATATTGAACATTATGGCAAAGTTGCAGTCCGATTAAATGATTATAGGAGCATAAAGAATGCCCAGCAGTCCAAACCTATGCAGAGTTAGAGTGCCTACTGAAATTAATTTGTGTTATTTCATTGGGAAGATAACCAAGATTTTAATACCTTTTTGTGCTTTCTTCTTCTGCTATGCTTTAATGCTGGGGTGCCAAACTCGATTTCATTGAGGGCCGCATCAGAGTTGTGTTTGACCTCAGGGGGCCGGATGGGCATGGCCAGGATGGGCGTGTCCAGCTTGATGTCACTCATGTCAGGGGGCACCTGTGGTGGCCCAGGCGGGGCTGTGGGCATCCTCCTGAAGCTTTCTGCCAGTGAAAACAGAGCCCGGGAGGGCTGTGTGTGGCCCTCCCAAGTTCCATTTTCAGCCACAACGGCCTCCAGCAGCCCTCTGCCAGTGAAAATGGAGTCCAGGAGGGCCTAGCAGAGGCATAGAGGGCCAATCCTTCACTATTCCCAGGGCGGCCCCGTGGGCCTTGAGTTTGACACCCCTGCTTTAATGCATAACATAATTTAAGTGTAAATTCTGCTTGCTTAGAACATGAGTCCTCATGCACACTGGCAAACTATTTCTGTATTTTCAAACAATAATCATTCAGGAACACAAAGAGCTAGAGGGATTTAGCTCAAATATGCTATTTACTTTGCTTTGTTCTAGAAATTAGCACATTTTCCAAAAACAAAGAACTGTGGGAGTAAATTTAGATTGTTTAATTAAGGTCGAAAATATCCAGGAAAAATAACAGGAAAACAATAAAGAAAGATTGGGGCTTTTCCAGAAATAGTTTTATCGAAGATACAAATTTAACCATTAACTTCAGGACACACTTTCAGGGCAGTTTATATAGGAGACTCTTGGCTGCTTATGGATATGAGAAGATCAAATTACCATGAAATTGTCAAACTTGTGAAAGATGGAAAATGAATTGTCTGCATGAATAAAGCAGGAGAACCTAGTACACTAACAACAATGATATAAAGAGTAGAGATGTTCTTCAACTTAACTGGACACAGCACACTGCAAGTGGGACTATTGAATACAAAAACCAGTCAGAGCCTATGTTCCAATACAGTATCTGTAGACACCTACATCCATGGATATGTCCTTTAATTCCTATTCCCACCTCCCCCAATAATTTTTATTTGTATATTGCGATTAGTCATTTTATTAAGGAGGCACTGTCCTCTCAAAATCATTAACCAATTAATGGAGTTGCGGAATTAGGCTATGATGATCAGAACAAGATTTGTGAATCCCTTAGAATTCAAGAATTTAGAGGGAGGGGGGAAGCAGGCATAACTTTACAAAATTTTTATAAACACTACGTATAATTTGCATCAGTATGGTGTTAGATTTCTATTGAAATCATAGCCATTGTTTCTTGATACACATTTTATGCAAAATATTATCTTGTTTTTGGGGTACATTCTTTAAACAATTCTATTAATTTAGGAATCCTGATGAACTGTCTGCATTTTTGTCTGTCACAATTCAACTAACAATTACACATGGCAGTGAATTAAGTTTGCAAAAGTGGGTCAGGATAATTTACTGTGATTAAAAGCTGTTTGAATTACAAAAAAAATGAACCCGAAGGGAATATATCAATCATGCTCATCCTGACATTTATCACCCCAGCCTGTTGTGGCCCACCAGCGGCCTGCGCGGATTGTTGCTGATTCTGAAGAGGAGGAGGCTGGTGTGGTGTCGCGCCAGCAGCCTGTGCAGCCGGCGCTCGAGTCGGACAGCGAGGAGGCTGAAGAAGATATGGTGCCAGAGGCAGGGATTCAGCCAGGGCCTTCAGAACCTCCAGAGGCTCCTTTAAGTGAAGAGGATGAAGTGGAGGAGCCTCTTCTCAATGCACGAGCACGCAGAGCTGCCAAAAGGCAGGAGTGGTTATTCAGGAGGAGGTCTCCTCAAGAGTAAGGCTTGGGGCTAATTGGCCACTCTCTTAGCCTATTTAAGTTTGCACACAGCTTGTAAAAAGCTGCAGGAAACAACGTGTGTTCGTCGGTTTGTTCGCTGATCATTGAGTTTGAATTTTCTCTGCAAATCTGACTTCTGGGCTTTCTAACTCTACTGCCAACTCTAGTAAGACTCTATCTTACCTGTGGAATTTCTGGCAGGTTGTTAAGAACGTTTTATTGATAGCCTGCATTTGCAAAAGACTGTTTTTTGAAGTAAACTGAGTTTTGTTCGGAGTTTGTGTTTGCTACATTCTTTGGGATCCATAGCTGGGGCAGAACACAGCCATTTCTTGAAACTAAGACTATGGGTGCCCATTTTAATCAGCTGGAGCCATAAATTGGTTCTAGGAAATCTAACCATACTTTGGGATGTTCATGAATCATCCACTTTGTGGATCACAAATGCAAGTATCTCCCCCTCCCTCCCTCCCTCCCTCCCTCCCTCCCTCTCCCTCTCTCTCTTCAAAGTACTTCATGACCATAATCAAAAGGAATAACAAAAGAACAGAATACAGCAGTTAACAACAGCAGTAAGAATAGACAACATTCCCATCAAAAGGTACGGTACATCTAAGTGACCATCCTTCTCCATCTGATCTAAGCATGGCACAAACACGTCCTGTGAACAACATTTTCCTGCCATGTTTCAATAATGTTGCCTTCACTCTGTCCTAAATTCATGAGGGGGACATATTTAAGCTACCCATAGTTGCTCTGATACATAAGAATTTCCCCCCTTCATGAGGTAGACTTTTTTATCCATTAATTTGGAGAGAAATCAGATGACCAGCAGTGAGATGAAATAAGCAACACAGATGGTTAATAATGGGCAATAGGGTATGATAGTTGTATAGTTTTCTCATTACTCAAGAATGATAGGTTTTTAGTTAATGCCTAAAGGCATCAAAAGAAAAAACTAGTGTGTCCCTGAGAAGGTCTTGTCCAATATACCGAGTGATCATGCCAAAGATTACTTCAAGACACAGAGACCTGCTATCTCAAACAACAAAATACATCGGATTGTGTACATTTATTTATTTATTATTTATTCATTAGACTGCCACCCATCTTGCCTAGATCCATTTATTGATGTAGTACATTTTTATACTATCCGTATAATCAGACTGATGTGGTGTACAAAAACATAAAAATAACATATACAATAAAATAAAACCAATCCACGTCTAACATAAAGTAATATCTCCAATAATGAAGGAAGACATGAAAGAAAGAAAAAAAAGTGGCAGCCAATTACTATTATACTTCAAAAGCCACCTGAATAAAATTGTTTCCACAGCAGTGCAAAATGTCAGAAACGAGGGCACCAAGAGCATCATTAAGGCAAGGTACTCCAAACTGCCGAAGCTACCACAGAAAAGCCTTGTTTTCTGATCTACATTCCTTTCACCTCCCGAGGTGGTAAGAACTTGAGTAAGTCCACTCTAGAAGGTCTGACAGAATGAGCAGTCACATTTTGGAGAAATATTCTGAGATAAGCAAGGAAATAATCTGGAATATGTACAACGCTAAATGAGTCATTAGAACTAGCTTGGAAATTATCAGAACTGCAAACAATTCTGAGAAAGCAGGGGACAAAGCATCTGAATGTCCCAAAGGTGCTTTTTCAAGAGGCACCTTTGGGACATTCAGATGCTTTGTCCCCTGCTTCAGCTTCTTGGATGAGAAGTGAAACTTCTACAAAGAAAAACGAGAAAGTCCAGTTGCCTCTTGAAAAAGCTGCCTTGGGACAAGCATGACCTGGATGACTGAGAATCTCCACAGACAAGGCATTTGAAAGATTATTTGCTGCTGAGTTCCCTGACCCCTCTCTTCTTTCTGTTTAGATTGAGTAGGGACCAAGAAGATTGCCTCGTCTGGCCTGCACTCTGGACCCCCTTGCCAGTGTCATTTTTCTAGGTTGGGACAGGTACCTATTACTACAGGTAGTCCTCAACTTACAACAGTTCATTTAGTGACCATTTGAAATTACATCGGCACTGAAAAAAAATGATTTATGACCATTTTTCACAAGTACAACCATTGCCACATCCTCATGGTCACGAGATCAAAATATTTGGCAACTGACTCATGTTTATGACAGTTCCAGTGTCCGGGGGGAGGGGGTGTCACGTGATCACCTTTTGCGACCTTCTGACAAGCAAAGTCAATGGGGAAGCTAGATTCACTTCATAACTGTGTTACTAACTGAACAACTGCAGTGATTCGTTTAACAACTGTGGCAAGAAAGGTCGTAAAATGGGGCAAAACAAATGTTTCACTTAACAACAGAAATGTTGGGCTCGAACGTGGTCGTAAGTCGAGGACTACCTGTAGTAGGCACAGCACCACCAAACCAGACATTTCCCCTCTGAGTCACTGGCTGCTTAGTATGTGTAGAGAGAATGAGTGAGGCAAGGAAGACTGGATGTTATTTGAGAGTGCGAAGAGGCATATTAGCGATGAGCCAGTTGACAACACATATTTAGACTTTGAAAAGGCTTTTGACAAATCCTTCTACTCAAAATTTTGAGTAAGATTAGAAGTTATATTTTAAAAAGGTAGGAGTGTAATGGTCTATGGGAATGTCCTCGGGAGATAGGAGGAAGAGCTGCAACTTAGTAGACAACCATCATGCAAAAGGTATCTCAGTCCTCAGAAGGAAAAGTAGGGTGGAAAGCATCTCAGAATGGTCCTTCCTATTTTTTTGGAAAGTAAAAATAAAGGAGCAGAGAAGTGCTTTTAGATTTGTAAGATTCTATTACTGTAACTTTAGAATAAATGTGGTGTTAATAGTCATGGTTTGTGCTTCTTGTCTTGGCTACTCCAAGGAGCTGACATGGAGAGAGATTGCAGGGGACAACGACAGAAATAGACCAAGGAGAACAATATAGCTTAAGTCCAAATCAAGTAGCAAATATGTGTA